ATTATTACCCGCTGCTCAGTTAGGTTTAATCCTTCCAAATAGCTGAGAAAATTCACTAGTAGGAATTAAGAGGGCACAGATATTGCCCGTTAGCTGCAGGAGGCGGCTCATCCCACTGCTCTCTACCTCTCTCCCTGTTATCTTGGTTGGGGGGGGGGGGGGGGCAAAGCCAAAGCTTTTGTGCTAACATCGTTGGTTTACAATGGGCTGACCCTGCAGCAGCATTACCTGAGCACAGCTCCCACTGCAGCTGGGGAAAAATAGCTGGATTTGCAGCTGCAGTGTGAAATACCCACTGCTGCTGTTGCAAGCCCTGAATCCAGCTGCTCTGAGCATCCACCTGCAATAGTGTCTGCACATTAGCACTCATCCCTCTGTATGCAAACCTGTGGAAAGCTCATAGGAAATTGAACCAAAGCCCTTTTGCTTTCCTGCTAGCTCATTTGGAGCACAGAATCACAGAATCACAGAATTCACAGCACACATTTTGTTGAAAGACCCCATTGAAGCACGAAGGCTCTACATCCCAGCATTTTCCAGCAGCCATTTCCCTGATGATCCCTGCACAGAGCTGCAGCAGCACAGTGGTTAACCCTCTGCTTTGCATCCCCAACCTCATCAGCTTCAATCACAGCACAGAAGCAAAAGGGATGGGCGAAGGACAGAAACTCCTTGACTTCTTTGCAAGAGAAAGAGATTAAGGGGGTGGAGCTGCTCAGCAGTAGCTTTGCAAGACCCCAAAATCCAGTGCACATTCTGCACCATCTGCAAACTACATCCAAAAACTGCTGCAACACCCCAGAACCTCCTAAAGCATTGCATTTAGGCAGAGTCATTTCCCAGTGTGCAACAGTAGGATTTTCCCAAGGGGTGCCTCCCCCACAGAGTAGGCAGGGCCATAAGGAACCTCATAACCTTATTTAAAAGTCTCTGTTGCTCGTAATGGGAGGCACTTACCCCCTCAGATCCATCATTTGGTTTTATTGCTGGTAATAACTCCCGGAAAGTCCTCAACAGATGGAAATTTTATTTGGTTAATCATCGCCATCTGAATTGCTGTGGGAAGGCGCTGGCGGAGGGAGCAGAATGGGGGCAGAGACAGGGTTGCACCCACCCCAAATCCCAAAGCAGGTAAATCCACAGCACTGCATTTTCCCCAGCCTGACCCATGAGTTCTGCATGGCTCAAAGTTCATGGGAGGTTTCAATTTTGCAGGGGGCATTGCAATGCTCCTTGGGCGTAGCATCCTCCTGCAGCAGACCCCAAGAGATTGCAGTCCTGCAAACAGCAATGCTAGCCCATTTCTGCTAGGCACACATTATGGCAAAGTATATATTTATATCTACAGGAGGAGGAAGTGCTGCATAAGCCTCGCTATCACTGCTGTACATGCGTAACCATGTACAGATATCCTCATTATATACTTTCCTTATTTTTGTAAGACTGATTCCCATGCAAACCTCTGCAAATCTGCTACTCCCCTTGGGCAGCACAAGGCACTACAAGCTGGAGCTGCTGCAGAAGGCTGCACTGAGAACCCAGTGGGTGGGTTCAGGGCATGATCCCAAGAATTTGCATTCAGTTGTGGGATTTCTGCAAGAACTAAGCCCAAATAGGGCATGTGCGTTGATGTATAGGATGGGAGGTGTAACTCAGTTCAAAGGCCTCATGCCCTGGTGAAAGATTCCTTAGTGTGATACAGGGCCCCAACCCACACCAAAACCAACTCAGGATCAATAAATCACCATACAGAAATCCATTTGGTGCAATAATAGAGGGTTGGTTTTGCATTCCCTAAAGCAAAAAGCACTGGGGGGGGGGGAGGGGGGAAGGGAGGGGATTAGAGCCACTCCTGCCCAGAGGAAAGATGAGCTCGTTATCTGCAAATTAAGCTGGATTAAACCCGAATTGCAAGCCAGCAGCATGGGGCAGCACCAGGGGCAATGCACTCTGCCTTGGTTGCAATATAAAAAACAATACTTTAAAAAAAATTCTCCGAATTCAACTTTCTCCCATTTTTCTTTCCTCTTACCCCTTACCTCCTCACTAAGGGAGAGTGCTGGGGGAACTGTCATGTTGGCACTGCTGAGCCCATGGGATTTTGCAGTTTGCTACAGCAAAGAAAATATTGACAAAGAAGGGCTGCTTTGTTAAATCTTTATATCAGAGCAAAGCTGACTTTCATCCCAGTCTGCAGCTACTTGTTGCTTTGGATGGAATAATTTGGACGTTGCCAGCATCTCAGGGCTTAATAACGATGCACCTTCAGCAAGACCCCCACTCCTTTGCATGGGAACACTGTTCTGCACAAGCGTGCCCATCGTACAGCAGAGGTGGGAGGCTGGAGGAGCATTGCTGTGCCGTGGCACTGGTATGCACTATCTAATTCATTTTCAAAGGCATAGGGGCAGCAAGCAAGCAGGGCCATGGTAAGCTTGCTCACTGAGCTGCACGCATGCAAATACATACATATAAATACATATGCTCGTTATCTGGATGCTCCTAAACATGAGTGAGGAGAAGCAGAGACCACCAGCTTTGGTGCCATGAATGCAACACCCACCACAAAGCACTCAACCCTCACCATCTCCATCCTGCATTTCCACAGCGAGTTAGTTTCCTCTTTTTATTGCTCAGGTCTATCACCCCTTCTAAGTCTTAGCTGAGCCTATCTTCAGAGCAGACCTCCCTTTGCAGCTCTAAGTAATTCCTTCTTTGCTCCTCCACCCTCCCAGGGGGGCTCCTGTGCAGTTTGTTATTATTACTATCAGAAACTTCTGTATTTTTTTAAAGGCTCTCCTCCAAAGGGCATCCTTGGGGCAGACCACCCCCCCACCTAGCTAGGAAGGGACCCTTTGATATCCCCAACCCTTGCTGAAACAAATGCACCGTTCCCCAACCCCCTGCACAGATAAAAGACCCTTTAGGGACAAAAGTCATTGATGGGGAGAAAAACCCAGGAGGCATCAAAATACTTTGATTAAAGGCAATGGAGGGGGAGAATTTTTTCAGTGCTTTAATTTTCTGATAGCTAATCCATGGCACAGCACCATCATTTACCACTGCATCCTTTGCAGTTGCACCATTGCACTGCTTACCACCCCACCACAGCTGCACCACTTCACAGATTTTTTTTTTTTACCCTACCTTTGACAGAGACAACACACACACACACAAAAAACCTTAAAACCATTTTCTTCTCCTCCATCATTTATCTTAGAAAATCAGGTTGGCATCTCCCTTCAACGCCAAACAATGAGACACCCCCTCACACAGGGAGGTTTAGGGAGAACAAGGAAATAAATGCTGGTTTGGGGGCTAAAAGCCCTTGGGGCTGCTTCATCCCTATGCCAGCCTGCCCCCACAGCGTGGGCTTGCAGAGCGCATCCCTTCCCCAAAAATAAACCCCAGTCACGGATCATCTCCAGCGCTGTCAGGTTGCATTTAGATTGCAAAAGCACTCAGCGGCTGCACCCAGGCTGAAAGCAGGGCAGGGCTGCTGCTTGCTCAGCTCTGCATCCTAAAAAAGCATCTGCTGGTGGCTAAGCAGCCCACACCACCCCCTGCCCCAAATCCCCACTGAGTCTTGGTCCTATAAGCCAGTCCCAAGGGAACGTAGTGAGTTTTGCCTGGGGGAGCAAGGCCATTAATTTCTCAACTTCATTCCCTAATGACTCAAATCAGGAAAGGGCCATAAGCTGCCACTGAGGTCACCTGGAGCTGGTGACAGGAGAGACAGCCAGGGTGTGGGGAAGGGTCTGGCCCTTGTCTGCACTGGAACACAGTTCCTGCATCCTGCCCATCTGCATCGCGCCTTTAGGAGATGCCACCGGGATGCCCCCAGGGAGATGCAGCAGGGACAGCCTGGGAACACACCACCAGGACGCTCCCTGGGAGATGCCACTGTGGCAGCTTTGAGACAAATCACTATTAAGCATTTCAGAGATGCCACCAGGGCACATTTGGCATTTACCACCACGGCACCCCTGGGACATAACTCCATGGCACACGCCATTCTAGGAGGAGGCCTTCTTAGGACCTACCATCATGGAGCCCCCGGGAGATGCCACCAGGGCACTTTGAGACTCCATAGCACTCTTCAGGAGATGCCACCAGGGCCCCTTTAGGACCTACCACATCCACATACCTGCACCCAGCTATGTCAGCATGCTCACGCACAAATCATCCTGACGGGACAAAAGAACTGAGGGAAAAGAGCCACTACCTCTTTGGCACCATTCCCCACCAGCATAAAACTGGTTTCCACCAGCTTCACAGCTACTATGGGATGTCACCAACCCCTCTGATACCGTATCTTGATTCTGAGACAGGAGGAAAACTTAAATCAGAAAAAACTTTGAGGACAAAAAGAAAAAAAAAAAAAAAAAAAAAAATCCCAGCAAAGCACACCCAATGGCTAATTAGAAAAATACTCAGAAATTGGTGCAGGGCAGATAATCTTCGCTCACCAGCAGCACATCTTCCCATTTCAAGGCTGAGCTGCAGGGAATATCAATCTGATAATTGTAGTGCTACAAATGAAAATCAAATTGAAGGCAGTTAGAGAATCACATTATAAATTGATTTAGTCCGCAGACAAATCTGCAGACCTCCCTGGCCTTCGGATTCTCTGTGTGGAAGGAGAGGTCTGAGGAGAGAAAAGAGATAGGGCACCTTTGGAAGTGGTGGAGTCACTGTCCAGTGGCTTTCAAGAGATGAAGATACATAGCACTTGGGGACATGGTGGCGATGGGCTTATAGTCAGAATTAATGCATTTATAGGTCTTTTCCAACCTGAATTATTCTATCCCCTCTGTCCATTATCCCCTCCATCCCACACCATTTCTGGGGAGAAAAAGGCAATTTTAAGGCTGCTTCTTGATTTCTGAGCATGAGGGTCATATCAACTCGTTGATACTGTTGACAAAGATGGAGAAAGAGCTGCAATGGAAAGAAAACATCTGCACAAACAGGTTACAAAGTATTGCAAGGAAACATGCTGATTCCTATGGGATTTATTTCCAGGCTGAATTTCACCCAAAATTTCCTGTCCTCCAGAAACAGCTCTTATGCTCCAATTGGAAGTCCCCAAACCAGCTCCCAAAACACTGCATTATGTAACCCCAAATCCTCACTTCATAGTCAAAAAAGGGCTATTTCAGCAAAACCCCGTTTCAGCACAGCCAGTATCCAATGAGTGCTCACACCTCTTCTTTATTTCTGCATCTCCAAGTGCCCCAATATATACAGATTCCTTCTTTATACAGCTCATAATATACACCTTATTTATATATATATTTATAGATATCCACACGCAGACACACAAATGCCTTCAAGCACAGCCCCAGCGCCTCCAAAGCCCGCAAGGAGGTCATTGCTTACCATGTTTAAAAACTCCCCTCTCCCAGCATGCAAACTGGGGTGTTTTCTGGGGGGAGGGAGGGGAGTCAAAAATGACAATTTTTATGGTGATTTTCCTTTCCTTATTTTTTTCCTCATTTCTCCTTTCAAAAAAAAAATAATGGGGTGGTGCACTCACCAATGTGACCGCCCCACGGCAGCGTGTAGGGTGGCTTTGAGGTAGGCGCCGCGCGGGCATCCCCCGGCTGCTATAGCATCAGCGGGAGCTGCCAGATGAGCAGGGTGCTGTCAGCATCACCGCCCCGGCGCTGCGGCTCAGAGTTGAAGTTACGGTACCCTCTGCCCCCTGAAATGATGGCGATAGAGGAGATCTCCTTGCGGGGAGCATCGCGGGCACAGGGCCGGCTCCGGACCCACACATCGGGGTCATCGGCCATCTCGTAGATGGAGCCATCTTCTTCCGTGTGCTCTGGGGTCACAGTCCCAGCCGGAGCATCCCGCACTGACAGCAGCTGCCCAGGGAGGTGGGAGGTGGAACGGAGGCGGTACTGCAACAGGATCCCTTTTTTCCTCATTTCCCGCGGTGGGGGTCCATCCAGCTCTGGGGGTTTCTCTTCCCCACCTTCTTCTTCCTCTTGGTCTCCTTTCAGCACATCGGGGGCCAACGTGCTCAGTGCCACGGCCAAGAAGTCCACGGGGCCACCGTGCCCATTGAGGGACACCATGCCTTTTCCTGTGCAAAACAGGGATTTGAATAACAAAGATCCCAAATGTCATCTTACAAGGAAATTTTTGGGGTGCTCACCAGTGATTTTGGGGATGCCCTCCAATCGGGGCACAGGCAGCAGAACAATGATGCCCTGGTCGGTGCCGACCCACAGCAAGCCCTGACAGATGAGCAGGCTGGTGACACAGACATGTCTTTGCCCTGAAAAAAAGGGAAAAAAGGGAGAGAAGAGGCTTGCAGCAGCACTGTCCCTTCAAAGTGGATAACTGCCATCCCAAAATCAAGCATCATCCATGCATGAAGATCTCTGCGTGGGGAGAAAAGCATGAAAATATCAATAAATAAAGAAAGGAAAAAAAGAAAGCAAGAGGAGCAGAGAGAATTGAGGCTTCTAATGGCACATGAATATTTTATCGCAGGGACTTCGCGCTGCAGCGTCACACTCAGTGAAGCAATATATCTGTGGAGATGTAACTCCAGTTCTCGGCAAGAGCTTTATTAATGGGCTGTCTGGTTAAAAAGGATGAGGGAGCACAAGTTCAAAAATGCATTAATACCCAATGCTCACTTGCCCAGGAAGAAAAGGAAGTGATAAATATTTTAATATGCCCTTAAAAAAAAAAGAAAAAAAAAAAAGAAAAAAAGCAACTTACATGAGTAGCACGCGTATAACTAATTATGCAATTACAACGTTTTGTAGCTGGAACAAGTGGGAGGCAACCTTGCAAGCCCAGGGCTGAGCCTTGTCTTTTCCTTGGCACATCAGAGCAGCTAAGAGCCAAAGAGGTGGAAACAGAGGGCATGAGGTAGAGGTGTGCATGAGCAAAAAGTCCTGCAAGGGTGCAAATATAGGTACATGGATGCAAAGATGGGGCACATTCATGCATGCACAGATGCACACAGGTATAATTAAGGATGGGGTACGTGGAAACACTTGGGAGCAAAGATGGATGCAAGGATGGGGTGCACAGATGCAGTGCACGGATGCGTGTAGTAGGAGCAGGAGTGAGATGCATGGATGGCATGTGTTGATGCACAAACATGCATGAATGGGATGCACAAGTGTGAAGAGTAAATGCATGAATAGGTGTACAAGTGCCAAGACTAGATGCATGGACAAAGGGCTCCAGCTTTCCAGCAAAGCTCGGCCTTGCTAAAACCCTACTCAGACCTGCCTAAGCCCATCCTAAAGCTCCTGCAGCCTAAAAACACCCCTTTCCCTCAGAATGCTAGCTTTTTTCCCTAGAGCTCTCGAGTCTTCAGAGTGATGCTCCCAGCTCCATCCCTGCAACCCTATTGCGGGAGGTCACAAGACAAAGCTCAAACCTTTCCAGCAGATAAACTCACGGCACAATTTCTCTGCAAAGCAAGGCACCTGGAGGATAGATATCCCAGGTTTTTCATTCACTGGGATGAGGAGCCCCACCTGGGAGGACAAAGGTAGTCCTGGTGGCAATGTTGATCTCCTGCAGGTGCTCCAGTGTCTCGGTGTGGAAGAGGCGAATAGAGGAACCAGAGGAAAACGCCATCCAGACACCACTGCCTGCCTTGATCATGTGTGTCACGCTGGCCTCTGTATCCGGATGAGCCTCAAAGGTTTGCTGCCCAGAGGGAGGAATCAAGATGAAGTCAAAATAAAGAAGAAATCTCAATAAAAGGCTGTTTAGTTGGACTCTCTAGAGGCTGCTGTAGGGCTGCAGACTCATATTGGGATGGCAGGAGGTGGGATAGAGGTCCTGGCCTTCCTCACCAGCTTCGCTTTTAGCAGACACCAAACTCAGCCCCTCACCAATCTCCTCTTGGCTCCATAGGGGCAACAATTCAGCCTTTCCCACCACTCTTTCCCAGTTCTCTTTACAGGACTTTTTGCTGGACCTAGGTGTGTCTTTCAACCTTACACCAAGGTGGAACAACACCTTCCTGCCTTTCTCCTGCACCAAAAGCCAGCAAGCAAAGACTCAGCACCCGCACAGGACCTGCTTAGGGTTTGGTGGTTCATGGTGACTTCTGAACGAGAGGAACAGAAAACAGAACCATCCTCCTCTGACATATTCCAACACAACCAAAACCCCAACCAACACCACGTTTACCTGTTTTCTACACATTTTCCACCTCTCCCTGCTGCAGTAAACCCTCACGAACCCTAAATATCACACTGAAGAGCATTGGATTTATGGATCTGAAACCACATTCATGAAACGAACTCCCTGAGAATCTCCCAAGCAGCAGATTAGGCATAAAAATTCAGATTAGCATCATAAGCAGGTTGGGAATGGCTCGAGTCTGCAGATACAGGATGCTCTGGAGGAAAATAGGCTGTGGTAGTATGACAGTGCTGAGAAAAGGGGAAGTTTAGGGGTTAACATGATGGAGGAACCTGCTAGGAGCAGGAGCGTGGCTGCAGCACGCATTGTGCATGCTTCTACAGGCACTCATTTGCTGCTTAACTGCAAGTCCAGGGTCTTGCTGCAATGCAGCTCCCGCTTTCCACAGTGCAGCAATGAGCCCACAGTGCAGTTTCTTGGTGAGCAGCATGCAGGATTGAATCACCACCATGCACCCACTTCAACGTGACTTCCCTTGTGGGTTTGAAATTTTGCTTTTAAAAGAAAAGGAGCAGCAACAGAGCCCTGTCTGGAGAGCATTAGTGTGGTGCAGCATCCCAGCATTCTTGCACAAAGCAGAGGTGGATGAAGATTATTAGGACATCTCCCCCTTTCTTCCATCCAGTGTGGGATTTATTCCCTAGGGCTACATTCCCAATCTGCTATTTATGGACCTGAGTTTGCAGAGCTTCTCTTAAACAGGACACGTGCAACTTCCCATAGGGAATCCAACCCAACTCAGACAAGCAGAGAGCAGCAATTGGAGCTGTAACCCACTGCTGCACGCTATCAACCTGCATCGAGTCCCAGGCCCCATTCCATCCCCCCCATAGAGATGCTCAGTGCCACTGGGTATGGCATCACCCAGGCTGTGCCTCCCTCTTTTTCTCCCATGTTTTTCTTCTGTGAGAATTCCCAGCTGGCTCCTGTCATAAATAAGATCAGAGACAGAAAACTAATACAGTCCCCTGATGCATTATTCATCCTCAGCACTCGTTTTAGGATGGATTTACGACAGCTAATACATGCAAACTAAGTTTAGGTATGAAATCTGAAAATTAAAGGTAAGAAAGGTTTTTTGTCATTGTTTTTTTGTTTGTCTGTTTGTTTTAAATAGAGATGACTACTCAACATCCCTGCTCACATAGCTACAGGAAAACTGCCCCAAAAGGGGCACAGGGGGTGGTGACGATGCTGGGTTCTCCTGAGGTACCTGAGCACAGAGGGTGGAGGCATCAAGGACGGTGACCTGGTTGGCACAGCTGGCCCATAGGGTCTCATCCAGCATCAAGAGCGCTCGCACAGGGCTGGTGCCCACAGGCAGGCAGGTAGGCTGCTCAGTCAGGTCCCACAGCCCCACTAGAGCAGAGCACAGAGACCAAGACTCAAAATCAGGGGAAAAAAATAGATATTTTCACATAAGCCCAACCGCAGCATGTGCAAAGAAATGCTAGCACTGAGCTTCCTTACTGCACAAATGCGTCCCCTTTGGGTGCTGGGGTCACCTCCTGCAGCCTCAAATCTCAATACCATCACTGGGAACACAGGTCTGAGCTCTGCCCCAATCCCAAAGAAGTCACATAAACAGCAGTCAAGCCTGCGACAAGTGGTCTCCCTTCCATCATTTGCATGAAAAATAAAGGATGGGGCAGTGTGCACAGGCAACAGATTCCCCCAGTTTGCAGCACCCAGAGCTGGGGATGCTTTGCTGCTATGCAAACATCCCCTGGCAGCTGCACACAGCCACAGCTGCACAGCCACCTGCAATGCTTGGGCACAGGAATTGTTGTTGCCCCCTCCCCTCCCCACCTTGATTTTTTTTTTGTTTTGTTTTGTTTTTCATTTGTTTTGACTCCTAAACTGCTACTCCAGAGTTCATTCATCTGGGGCCAAACTGAATTGTCTCAGTGAAAGAGAACCAATCCGGGTTCCCATGAACTCACCACAACCAATGGGTAACTGCCTTGCTTTCAAGTGGGCAATCTATTTCCACTGCAATTTTAAAACCATATACTCAGGATCCAAGAATTTAAAGAGCCCTGAGGCTGTCACAGCTCTGCTCCCAGCAGCAGGACTTTGCTACCAAGCAAAGCATGCTGTAGGTGGGCTCTACTCACTGCTATTTCAGGAAACCTTTGCTCTAATGAAGCCACACAGCAAATTTGCAGAAGGTAGGGAGAAGATATTAAAAAAGAAAAAACACAACCCTGCTAGCAGCTTTTTGCCTTTCACATGCATTTGTGCAATGAAGGGGAAATCAAATCCACGCTATTCACTAGCTTGCACACTTAAGTGAGAAAGTGGGGTGCAGAGGTGCTTATATACACGCTATATGCAGCTTTGGTGCTACTTGCTGCAGGTTGTGAGCTAACAAGTTTGGCTTTTTTTCCCCAGATCAGAGTGCTATTTGAGGCCCTTTTCTACCCTCTAGTGATGAAGCGGAGAAAAACAGCAGGGAAATGACTCCCAGGAAGTCCTCAGATACCACCCTCAAAGCAAAATCTCTGCTGCTGCATCTCCCCCTTGTTGGCCACTGAGACCACACTACAGGGCCCAAATTGAGCCCTATTCATTATGCCAATGCAAAATGCCATCTCCCACCATCACTCAGGGTTGCAAAACAGGATGAAATAGTGCAAAAATGGTGCTTCCAGCACTATTTTAGCAACCAGCACACTCAATACATCCCACTCCCCATTCCTGGAGCGTCACAGCAAAGCACGAACAGGGTTGCTCTCCTCACCATTGTTCCTCGGGTATGCGGCCACTGTCCCATCCTGCAGCCCTGCAAACAGGTGCTCAGAGCTGTGCTTCAGGCAGAGGACTGGCTGCATGCCAGGGCTCTTGCAGGTCAGCAGGCACTGTGTCCCCGTGTCCACGCTGCTGTACACTGCGATGCTAATGGGAAAAATGCAAGAGCAGGAAGAGCAGCAGGTGCTGGCGGTCATTGCTTCAAAATTTTGGTGCAGAGCTCCTTTGCAGTAATTGCATACAGAAGAGGGTTGCAGGAGCAGTGGATGCACAATCGCATACCCCCACATATGCACAACTGCACACTGGTGCTCACCTGCCGTCCCGCAGTCCCAAGCAAACAGTGGGATGCAGAGTTGCAGGGGGCTGCTCAGCACCTGCCCGGGGCTCTTCGGTCCCTTCCGTGTCCCCCTCAGCTGCCTCGGGGATGTACTCCATACACAGCACTGGCGATGCCACTGGGAAGGATTTTACCGTCCGCGGCACTGAGCGATTGAGGGAGAAGATCTCCACTTGTCCCCCTGCACCTGCCTGGCCACCCCCAACCTGTGGGGAACACAACAAGTTTTAGCATCTTGAGGGTGGAAATAACCCAAACCTAATGTTTTTTGGCCCAGTTTGCTCACCCAGAGGTAGCCCTGCGGCAATGAGGTGCTGACAGCAGAGAAACCCAACAGCGAGGATTGCACAGGGTTGTGCACTGCAGCGCTGAGCTGTAGGAGATACATGCATTTACCCCACACATGCCCGAAAAATCAAAACCTGACTGCAGTCCAAGCTTGTATTTCTTCCATTTGTCCCCCAGACTGTATCAATTTCTGACAAGCAACATGGTCACCCCCTCCCAACCTGTCCACCACGGGATTTCAGTCTATTACCTCCAGAAAGGGAGCAGGAGGGAAAAGAGCTATATGGCAGATGAACAATGCTTTTACCTGCAGATCGAGGGCTTTGGAGGAAAAGACAGGCATGTGGCAGGAAAGAATGGGGCACCAGAAGGGAGCTTTGCTCTTCTTGTCTTCATCGGGACAGAGCCAGCCCGGCTGGTTCTCCTCCCCTGTGGTGAGCAGAGTAGATTAAGGACAGCCTCAAAATAAGCATGATTGGGTACAGCAAGAGATGCAACATCACCCACCCCAACACCAGCCTTTGGGATGCCGCAAGAAGCCACATCCACGGTGCGCATCCCAGCACCTTCTCCAGCTCTTGCCCAAGCAACCACATTAAGCAGCATCAACACCCCCTACTCACTCACCCCCACAAACCATGACAAATATGGAAGGAAAAACCTAATGCATTTCTTCACATCAGGTTTTAATGTGTTTTCATTTCAAACTCATAGATACAGGATTATCCCCCAAGGCAACACAGATTAAAAACAACATAAACTGCTCAAAACAAGGGAATCAAAAATCATTTGAAATCGTGTTTGAGTGCTTGGATTCCCCCTGGGCTGGAATAATATTTCTGCCATTAAACTTTTTTTTTTTTTTTTTGCTGCAGTGATTCATGGTGTTAAATAGGAAGAGAGACATGGAGGTATCAGGAGGAAGGACTCTTCCCTTATTATTTGCCCTATTTCATTAGGAAACAGAACAAAGACAGCAACAAAGACAGCATATGACCATATCACCAAGCATCCCAGAGACACCACTCAAAAGCACTGAAACAAAACATTTTGAGGAAGGAAACGCCATTTCCCCCTTCCAACCAAATGCTTCTTCCAGCACCTTCATCCCACCTCATACCCTGCTCCCACTCATTCATCAGGATGCAACCCCTTCTCTGCCCCCAGATTTTGTTTTTAGAAGCAATATCACTCCAACAGGTACTCACGCAGCCCAATCTTGGCCAGGTGAAGGCAATTGACCCAGGAGATCTTGCTCAGAGGATTTGGAGTGATGAAGACCACCATGACACTGATGGGGCGGCCAGACCTGTACGGAAAAGTCAGTAGGTTGCCTTCATCCTTCTCCTCCTCCTCTCTGCAGCGGAGGTAGCATCAGGGAAAGCCCTGTCTATTCCCAGAATTGGGAACCCACTTGTCCGGCTTGCCAGGCAGCAGGAGACGGAGGCGGCACTTGTTGGCAGAGTGGATCTCTTCCTCCTTCACCTTCATCATCCTCTGCAGGGCCAAGCACCAGTCTTGGGCCACTGTCATGTTCAGGTTCTGAGGGAGAGAGAGGAATGGTGGAAATACCTCCAGAAGCCCGAATCCCCAGGATCCATCTGCAAGTCAGCTGAGGAGCTCAGGAACCAACCACCCACCCACCCACCAAACCACTGAATGACCTGGGCTGCGAGGGACCTTAAAGGTCATCCAGTTCTAGCAAGATCATTTAAGGAGGAGCGACAGATATCCATGGGACTAGCACAGAGCATTCAAACAAGCCCCCTGCAGCTCCTCAAGTCAAGTCTTAGCAGGTTCTCTCCTAAAACAGCAAGAGATGCGCCCCCAGAATGGCAGTGCTTGTGTCCCCCAGAATGGTGGGAGCTGTACCAAAGAGCTGGCATTTTGGTACCTGGTAGGTGCCATGCAGCGTGCTGATGAGCAAGGTGATCTGTTCCACCACTGCCAGGTCCTTCTGTAGGTCCTGCAGCTCCTGGAAAAGCCGCGGTGGCCCCAGGTAGACTTTATCTTGGGAGAAAAAAAAAGAAAAAGGGAGAAATGCAGGATTGGAAGTAAGTTGCCCATACACCCCAAAAAATCATGTGGCTTGGGGCCAGGTGCTCACTGTGCGAGGCCGGCCCAGTGGGTGCGTGCTTCTTGGCACCAGCGTTGTGGATGACCACATTGTCCTTGTCGTAGGCACCGCTCTCCTGCCCCACTTCCACCACCTGCACCTGCGGGAGGGCCGTGCTCCACTTCACCACATATTTGGGGCCCAGTGGCACCAGGCTGCTAATTTCCAGCTGGCCTCTGCCAAGGGAGGATGTGAAATAGCAAATCAATCGGCAGCTGGTGTTGCTAGTCCTGCAAACCCCACTGGATCCCCCCTGCAAAAAGCAGATGGTGAGCACAGCTTGCAAAACCATGACGTGCACTGGCACATGCCTTCACTCCCATACACAGGGCACAAACACAGCAAGCCACACTTAATGCCTACCTTGGGTTCACTGGCCTGGACAGGGGGGGAAAATGTTAATAAAAATGCATTACTGGGGGCAAGAAGAGGGTTTATCCCTTACCCTTAGCAGCACCAATCCACAAGACCCCAAAACCCAGGGAGCTCCCATAGGATCATTGCACAGATGCTCAACACAAGGATTTGAGGGCAAAATAGCCCCAAATTTGGGCTTCCTCCTCCAAAGCAAGGCTAAGCAGTTTGGGGGTGTACAATCATCAAATATACAATTAGCAGAGTGGCGTGGCTAGGCTGGTATTTCACAGGTCGTACATCTAGAAGGATTATCACAGTGGAAAGAGATAATCAACAATAAATGAAAATCCTCACCCATATCCTAGGCTCACAGAAAAACAATCCAAAGGAAGGGATCTCCAGAAAGAGACCCTTCCTCAGTGGCAGTCAGCCCTTAAATGGGGTCTGAGAGGTGCAGCCAGGCTCCACCCCTTCTGATCACACAGCTGAATCACCTTCACCTGTGCGCCCGCAGCTGACTCAGTGCTTGCCTCAGGTGATCAGAGGTTCAGGCCGTGATTCAACTGTTCCTATACACAGGGCAAGGCTAGCAAAACCCTTTAAGCCCAAAATAAAAGTGGGGAAGGGGAGAGGTGCTGATGGGATCACTTTCACTAAGTGGCTTGGGGCTGCTGGCACGTACCTGAAGTTGATGTTGGCACAGACCAACATGTCATTGAGGAGGAAAACCTTCCGCTCCTTGGACTTGATGAGCTGCCCCCGGTCGCCGTACACCGTCTCTGTCAGCGTCTCACAGAGCAGGAGCTGCCGCTGCCCTGAGTTCAGCAGCTGCAGGAGGATACAGCAGGAAAGGGGCTCAGCCCCAGAGCTCGTGTGGTTCTTGCCCTGCAATTTGGGCTGCATTGGGTTTGTGCAATGATTCTCCCTTTCCTAGGGGCACGCACAGCTCCAAGCTCTGCAGAAATGCCTGTGCAAAATGCTCACTGTACAACACATGCGCACAACACCCCAGTGCAATGCCTGGGCAAAATGTTCCAGCTTTGCACAGCACAGACCCTTTGCACCACAGTGCAACCTCTTTGCATGTGAATTCCACTCTGCCAAGAGCAAAGAGTCCTCAACATGACCCTTCTGCAGCCCCCTTTGGGATTTGTTTTGTCCTCTGTCCCTAAATGCTGGACCCTGGGCCAGGCTGCAGAGGCCACCACGTGCTCCTAGCACAACCCAGGATGTGTTGCAATGGTTTGGTGCAGGGTTTTCCACCAACGGTTGCAAAATCAAGCAGATGGATAGAGGGGAGGAGACTACAGATGAAAATTTCCTGAGTCGCAGACTTATTTTTTGCTTTTGCTAAATGCTATTGTGAAAACAAGAGCTCGGCTTCCCCAAAAGGGGAGCCCCAAACTTCACCACTTCTGCAAACACCAATCAAAGGGGATAGCTGCAAACCCAGCCCCTAAAACTCCCATTGCAAGGGAATGGGGAAGAGGAGCGAGGCTGAAACACACACCTTACTGAGGCTGCTGCGGTCACTGATGCTTTTGCTGAGCTGCTGGATCTCAGCCACCTGGTCAGCCACACGTTTCTGCTCATTGAGCTTCTCAGCCAATGTCTCCAGCTCAGTGAGAGCCAGCTGGAGGGACAGGCGGTCCGCATGGCCCTTGGGGGTGTTCTTCAGCATGTCCTGGGGAGAGACAATCATCAGCACAGTGTCACCAGCTTCAACAAGCTGCGATGGAGGAAAACCCCCCGCTGGGATAGCAGAAGTCCCAAAGGCACTTCCACAAGCCCCAAGCAGGCTGCCAACCCCAAAAGAAGCCCATTGCTGAGCCACCCTGAAGTATTGTGCCTGCCAAAGTGGGGTGCAAAGCATGGCGTCACCCATACCTGTAGGAGAAGGATGAACTGGGGGAACCTCTGGATAGGTTTCACCATCAGCCCATAAAGCGTCACGCGATCGGTGCTGGCCATCTGCCGCTTCTACTGGGAGTAAAGTTAAAATTAAAAAAGGGGAGGGGTTCATCCAAAATGGTGACCAGCAGCTGCATGTGCCCACATTTGGGACCCACTGACCTTAAGGAAGTCGAGGAAGGCAGGTTTGGTGAGACAAGCCTTCTTGATAAGGGACATGGCAGTGGTGAAGTTGTTGACATAGTCACTGTAGACATCCAGCACCATTGACTTGGAGAACTTTGTGAAAGGGAAGAAGGGCAGGATTAGTGCTGTGAGGCACCCTAAAATGGGGCTATGGGTGCTTATGCTGGGAGTACCCATGGAGGATGCATCACTTCAATCCTCCAACCCCATTGCTGGGAAGGGGCACTCAACTCTCCTCCTACCGAGGCCACAAAGAGGTCCCCAATCTTCTCAGCAGAGTCCCACTCAGCCACGCGGGAGGAGAGGGCGATCTGGAACATGGAGTGGCACTGCAGAATCTCCTTCAGGCGGAAAAACACCACCTGGCATTTCCTGGCGCTCAGCACTTTGGGCTCCATCTCCATCAGCGGGTTCCTGTAATCCTACAGTAAGCAGCAGAACATCAGCATCCCTCAAACCCCTCCAACACTCCTAAAAACACTTCCCCAAAGGTGGGTTCCCCACCTGCAGGATGCGCTTCAGGGATTCCACATAGCTGCGCTCACTCTGCACGATGGAGCTCAGGATGTGTCGCCGCACCACCTGCAAATAAATGGGGAAGGGGAAAACAAACCCCATGCAGAAGTGACCCCAGTTACACTGCTTCGTGCTCACTCACTTGTAAAATTATTATTATTTTGAGATGCTCAAAGGGAAGGTGAAGGAGGTGCCCATCCAGCACCCACCTGCTGGGGGCTGAGCCCTGTGGGCATGGGGCCAAGTTCGGGCGGTGGGTGCTTCATGTCGGAGACGGTGACCTCCAGGAAACCTGTGTCCTCCTCCTCTGAATCTCCTACCACCAAAAAGCAAAACAAAATAAACTTATTTCACATTTTTCTCGCAAGCTTCTTGGTGCTGAGCACACCCCCACTCTAGAAGGAGGCATGCTGTGATGCTCCAGGGGCTCTGACAAGGTTTACAGCTGCCGGCACTGCCTGTCTCAAGCACTGCAGCTGTCACCAGACACCAGCATGAGTCAGGGCTCTGTGAGCTGAGGTGCTGTCAGATCCCAGTGGGAAGGGGCCAAATCCTCCCCAGAAAGCATCCCAGATTAGGGAACCCCCTCTGTTTCCTTCCTTCAAGAATGGCTCTGATCACAGAGAGGCACAAAAAAGCAGCAATGCAAAGCAAAGTGCAGAGCAAAAGCACAACACAAACCTCCTGGCATCCAATCCTGCCTTACCCGAGGCCGAAGCAACTGAGGAAGAGGAGGGTGAGCGGATCACGGTGTCATGAGGCAGGGACAGCTTTCTCTTCCACATGCTGCAGCCGCTGGCCCCACTACGGCCGCCCCAGCCCCCAGCACCCCGCTCCCATCCCTGTGCATATAAATAACCAGAGGGGAGGGCGCTGCCGCCCGGGTGACCTTTTTCCTTCCCTAATTTAGGAAGGGAGGATCCCAACGCGTTGCTGGTGGCTCCAAGGGGCCACGCTGGGTGCTTCCCCCCCCCCTTAAAACCAGCATTGCACGTGGGATGCTTGGAGCATCCTTCTGGCCAAAATCCCACTCCGGGACACTATCCCACAGACTGACAGCAGGGCATGGCACACGCAGCAGATCCCCAGTGGCCCCAATGAATCCAGAGGGGCACCTAGCAGGATCCTACCTCGTCCGCAATGCTCCAGTGACCCCCTTGAGATGCCAGGAGTGGGTGGTAGTAGCTTTTCTGCCTCCTTCACCCTTCTCCTATGCTCCCCATCCCCTACGGGGTATGAATCATATTTTGGACACCCCAAAACATTGCATTTTCCTTCTTTTGGCTGGAAAATGGGGCTGCTTCTTATCTTATGGGGAGAGCACGAGGTGCCACCAAAACTAAATAGAGATGTGGGACTATCTTTAGGGAAAGGATCTGTTCAAACCCCAAGTGGTGCACCAGCCCCAAACCTCACCCTGTAGCACTGATGGGATAGATCAAGAAAACTGCAGAACACCTCAAATCTCACGAGAAGTTCATAATTTCCTACATTGCTCAAATGCTCTTTGGGCTGGTGTTGCCCTGAAACGTATGCAAATAGTACACCCACGGGCTGGATGCTTTAGGAACGACAAGGAGGGGGCTGACGAAAAAAAGCAAAGGGGAAAATGAATTAAAAACCATGAAATGCAGAAGGTAAGTTGGAGAAAGAACAAGGTAGATTCCAAATGGATATGGCTCAGTGAGCATGATGGTGATGGGTCAGCAGTTGGAGTGCTTGGTCTCAGAGGTTTTTTCCAACCTTAATGATTCTAGATAGATTAATATAAGAATAATATAAGCTTGGAAGGGGACACCCCACTCACCTGGCACTTCCTTACGGTGCAGGAAGGTCACCTTCCTCATCACTGCGATCTTGGTCTTCTCCAGCCCATCCTTGGTGCCACTTTTGGCCGCCTTCATCAGTTGAGTCATCTGAGCAAAAGGAGTTGGGATGCTCAAGGTCACGCAGCACTGCGTCCCCCCCACAATGCCTTGGGGACATCACACACCCCCATTCCTCCCTAGGAAGGCTGAGACTGATGGGGAAGGTGAGGAAGAGGAGGGGGCTGAGCACCCAAGGGGCCACCTCCGTCTCCTTTGTGGGGACACAGTGATGTGCCAGCTTGCGTGCAATGCAGCAAAGCATGAGCATGCAGCCAAAGCCAAGAAAGGGAGGGAAGCATGACGAGTGTACTGCAGCAGGATTTTGTGAGTAGGGCCATAAAGGATGTTCACCCTTAGCTTTGCACCTGGACTTGCAGTAGTTTTAGTGCAAACTGAGAAAATCCCAGCGTAAACCAGCTGCAAACCACCAACCTGAATGCTCTGAGGCAGGGAAAGGCTTTGCAATAAGTTTCTGTCCCACTCCCAATAATCTCCTTCCCAACCCTGTAGGGGTTAAACCTTCTCCGCTCCACTTAGCACACCTGAACCTCGCTCTGTCCAAACGCCCCTTGAAAAATAAAAACCCAAACAGTTGATGGGGGGGCTGATCAGTGACATAACTACCGGAGGGATGCAGATGAGATGGGGGAGGTGATAGCGACGGATGACCCCACGCCTCCAACCATCATCGGGCAAAATGGGCTGAACTGAGCACGGGTGCACTCATATCCTTACAGAGAGGCTTTTTTCTCCCCTCAGGGAAATTCAGGGAAGGGACCGAGGAGGGACAGTACCTTCCAATCATACTTCTGCTTCAGCTCCTGCATGTCTTTCCCCCCAACTCTTAAAGCCAGGATGTCCCTCTTAGTCCTGGCGTATGTCTCCTTTAGTCTATTCAGGTCTGGAGAAAGCTGAGCCCCAAGCAAACCAGGCAGGAGGAGAAGGTAGAGGATGCAGAGAAGGCAGAGAAGAGAGATTCAGGTGAGAAGCCAAACAATTAAAAAAAAAAAAAAAAAAAAAAAAAAAAGAAAGCGTTCCATCCACAGACACACCAGCAAAAAACGGGTAGGGGGTTCCCCAAATCTGGGCGGGAAGGGGGGGGAGC